CCACCTAGCAAGAAGCCACGAGGCACCTTTCCGAGCAGCTCAAAACCCCTCTGGTCTGCACTGTGGCACCCATAATTTATTTGCTGTTGCCAGCCAGAAACGGAGACGTGATGCTTGTGGCAAGCTCTGTTCGCCGCTTCCCTCTGACCAGCGCCCGAGCGGTCGGCGGCTCCTCACTCCCCGACGAGAGACCCTAACTGCAGAGGCCGTAACAACGGGGGAAGCAGAAGAGCAGCCTCAGGGAGCAACGAGCAGAGATGGCAAAGGCCGTCAAAGCAACGCCTGAGCTCCCTGCCACACCAACACCCTGACATCCTTGTTTTTCCAACACCAGGGCCTCTGTCAGCTGTCCACTATCTGCTGCATTCTGTGTATTTTTGTGCCTTTTGATTTTTGTACTGTATGTGTAAACATAACTACTCCTCCACCTGAGACTTGGGCAACAGGGACCTTGGTGCTGAGACAAAGCAGTTTATTCCCAAGTAGCTGAGGCATGGTGAAAGCACTTTATCCCCCGAGGGAGAGGGCTCCTAGGGAACTGGAGGGAACGTGTGGGTGCCAGACGGGGGGAAGGGCTGTTCCCCCTGCCCCAGGTTCCCCTATCTGCATGCACAGTGAGCTGGAGTTGCTGTGAGTGGGTGCATATCCCCCAGCCAGCCAGCCACAGTTGTGGCTTCTGCCTGAAATCCCAGACAGTGGTTGAGGGTGAAGACTTGTGCCTGACACCCCAGCTGTGCTGGCTCTGCCCACATCTGTGGTGCTGCCCCAGCCCCAGTAACGCTGCTCATGCCAAGAGAGGTCAGCTCAGGCTGATGCCCCTCAGACAGGGTGGTCTCAAGCCACACAAAGCAAAACACCAGGGAGCATCCTCACCCCCCTGGCCCTATGCGCTCCAGCATCTCCCTGCAGTCATCACCAAAACCAAGCTCAGTGCTACGGAGGTGACTTCCTGGAGCAGCTTGTTCTGCTTTGGACCCAGCCCAGATAAGGGCAACCAAGAGAACACAGGCTTGCTGCGTGTCCAGCCTTTTTTCAGCCATAAAGGTGGAGGGACTGGAGCCCATCCCCTGGCAGCAGCATGCTCATGTGGGCCAGCAGTGCAGCTCCAGCACCCCGAGCTACAAACAAAGGTAGAAAGTGTCCCACACTTACACTGGGGTCAGCGAGCAAGGGCCTGCCACAGAGAAAAACAGCTTGTCTGAGACCTGAAAACGTCACTGCTGTCCCATGGCATCCATGCTGGGCAAAACCCCTTCCTGCAGTCAGGGGAGCCGTGACTGCTCTGGTCTGCCCAGCATCCCACAGGCCCCTCTGCAGAGGCTGGACCACAGCTACCACCATGTGCCTGAAGCCAGCACTTACATGGAGGTGAAGGTGACCTGCCCACGGTGGCTGAACCCAGCCCTGGCCACCGCATTTCAAACTGCCAAAAAGAGAAGAAAAATAAGTTACTACCTCACTCCAGGCAAGGTCTAAGGTGAGCCTCTGTTACTCATCCAGCGGCCAAGGAAGCAACCTGGTGTTAGACAGCTGGTCCACCAGAAGCCCTCCTGGGTGACTCCCTGCCATGGACAGGTGGCCTGCATCCCATCATTCCCAGTGACACCACGTTTGTCGGAACTAGGAACATTAGAGTCCTGTATGTGTATATAGATATCTATTTTAAAACAAATGATAGACTTTATCCAGTATGTTAAAGGGGGTAGAGGGGTGGGGACAGGAGGGAAGGGGGAAGAACAGAGGGTTGTTTTTTGCTTTGTTTTTAAGAGAACTACAGAAAAAGTACATACACTGTGGAGGTTTCAATATCTTTGCTGAGGATGTGGCTTCAGGATAGAAACTCTAAGAATGTAGCTGGGCTACATTTTATTTTGAAAGTGATTTCACAAAAACTTCTTGAATTTTTTTTTTTTTTTTCCTTTTAGAAACTGTGAATAGGCTCCACG